GATATTAAGATCGGTGAGATCATTATCCATGACGATAATGCGTCTTGCGTCTTGAACCAATTTATATAACTTTTCTATCGATTGACCGGCCAAATGACTCTGCGCCTGAGCAATTATAGACACTATTTCATCAAGCCATAAATCGTATTGGCTCGGATGACATTTACAATTTTATTACATTTGCATTTATTAACAATACGGTGTAAACTCTCTATTTGACATACTATCCTCTTGTGATCAGGTAGATTTATATTACCATCAATATCACAATATGATTTAAGATTGAGTCTTGTAGTAACAGCATTCGAGTAAGAGTGTCGCGTGGATAATACTAGCAAATTCACATCGTCAGATATAGTAAGATGCTCTAGAACATATGTTTTTCCTGTCTCCCAAGGTGATCCTATATAGATATCGTCTTCATTGGATGATGGTCTTACATATCTTTCCTCATATATTTCTGTTGCTGTAAGGTTTTCATTATACTTAACCCAAGATGGCATTTTTACGAAGGCTTTAGGAAAACCTAGACCCTTTATCCTGTGGGAGGCGGGAGATAAATTTTTATTTTCTTTCTGAATTTTTTCTGCAATAGATGGGTCACATTCAAAAATTTCCCCACGCTCATCACTATTCTGCTGAAAACATTTTACGATAAATTCACCACTGGCGTATATACGACCGAACCACCGCTGATCCTTGTCATGTATACGTTTACATAGTGGACATTCTAGTAGAGCTTTCCGGTTAAAATATACGAAGCTTTCTTTCGTCTCTTCCTTTTCTTCGATAGTCCAATCCCTAAGATAGTTAGAATGTCTCTGCAAAACAAGGTCCGCGCATTTTTGTAATATATCATGACCTACAATTATTCTTAGTGGATTGTTATTTTTTTCTGTGCTAAGTAATCGGGGTCTTACTTCAACCCCTAAGCTAGTAGGTGGCTGAACTCTAGTATGATTGAGGTCATTCCACCCATTATCTAGTGAAAACTGAAAGATACGCTTCACACGTCCTTTTTTGCTGAACTGATAAGGCGAAGGTTAAAATTTTGACCAGATAATTTCTGATCAATAAACTTACCATATTTTTCACCAGTTAAGGTATATACTAACTCTGTGAATGCTTTGAGTTCATGATGATCGATAAGGAGAGCCGGTGCATATAAAACGTGGTAGCTACACTTGCTAGAATCTGAAGACGTAGCAATTACTAACCCTTTGAGAATATCTTTCCAACCACAGTCAAGAATTC